CTCATCACCTCTAGCCTCTCATCACCTCTAGCCTCTCATCTCTAGCCTCTCATCACCTCTAGCCTCTCATCACCTCTAGCCTCTCATCACCTCTAGCCTCTCATCCTCTAGCCTCTCATCCTCTAGCCTCTCATCACCTCTAGCCTCTCATCACCTCTAGCCTCTCATCCTCTAGCCTCTCATCACCTCTAGCCTCTCATCACCTCTAGCCTCTCATCACCTCTAGCCTCTCATCTCTAGCCTCTCATCACCTCTAGCCTCTCATCACCTCTAGCCTCTCATCTCTAGCCTCTCATCTCTAGCCTCTCATCTCCTCTAGCCTCTAGCCTAGCCTCTCATCCTCTCATCCTCTAGCCTCTCATTACCTCTAGCCTCTCATCTCTAGCCTCTCATCTCTAGCCTCTCATCACCTCTAGCCTCTCATCACCTCTAGCCTCTCATCACCTCTAGCCTCTCATTACCTCTAGCCTCTCATCACCTCTAGCCTCTCATCATCTCTAGCCTCTCATCACCTCTAGCCTCTCATCTCCTCTCTAGCCTCTCATCACCTCTAGCCTCTCATCTCTAGCCTCTCATCTCTAGCCTCTCATCTCTAGCCTCTCATCTCTAGCCTCTCATCTCTAGCCTCTAGCCTCTCATCCTCTAGCCTCTCATCACCTCTAGCCTCTCATCACCTCTAGCCTCTCTCATCTCTAGCCTCTAGCCTCTCATCCTCTAGCCTCTCACCTCTAGCCTCTCATCTCTCTAGCCTCTCATCACCTCTCAGCCTCTCATCTCTAGCCTCTCATCACCTTCAGCCTCTCATCACCTCTAGCCTCTCATCTCTAGCCTCTCATCACCTTCAGCCTCTCATCTCTAGCCTCTCATCTCTAGCCTCTCATCACCTTTAGCCTCTCATCTCTAGCCTCTCATCACCTGTCGTTTTAACGCTTCGTTTAGACGTCTTCGTTTCCTTAATCCACGTGTTATCCATTTCAGAACCTGTTTGGTGACTGTTCTGGCTTCTTCTGAGTGTATGCCCTATTTAGCGTCATCTTCTTTAGCTTCTAAAAATGTGTACTCCAGGCATGTCCCACATTTCTTCTCCCTTCTCGAAGTGATCCCCTTATGTCACGATCATACACCTTGTCATATAAGCTAGATGCCTTTATGACACGCCATGAAACCTGACCATATGTGGTGTGGGCCAATTGTAGGGAGAATATTCCTGCATATCGTCGACACCTTATACCATCCAGCATCATTGCAGTCACTTGCATCATTGCATTATTTACTGTATAGAAAGTTCTATGTGTACACAACTTATTGTCTGGAATGTTCTGTGAATGCAATATTTACTGCATAGAAAATTCTATGTGTACATAACTTATTGCCTGGCATGTTCTATGAATGCATTATTTACTGCATAGAAAGTTCTATGTGTACATAACTTATTGCCTGGTATGTTCTGTGAATGCATTATTTACTGCATAGAAAGTTCTATGTGTACACAACTTATTGCCTGGCATGTTCTATGAATGCATTATTTATTGCATAGAAAGTTCTATGTGTACACAACTTATTGCCTGGCATGTTCTATGAATGCATTATTTATTGCATAGAAAGTTCTATGTGTACATAACTTATTGCCTGGCATGTTCTATGAATGCATTATCTATTGCATAGAAAGTTCTATGTGTACACAACTTATTGCCTGGCATGTTCTGTGAATGCATTATTTACTGCATAGAAAGTTCTATGTGTACATAATTTATTGCCTGGCATTTTCTATGAATGCATTATTTATTGCATAGAAAGTTCTATGTGTACACAACTTATTGCCTGGCATGTTCTGTGAATGCATTATTGATTGCCTGGCATGTTGTACTCAAGTGAAGGCGGTCGGCGGAACGTTGACTATACCAGCCACCGAGTAACGGTTGGTCAACCCAACTAGAGTCAAGACTCACATGCCCTATGCGCCACTGGAGACAACAATGTCCTTCACTTGTACAGATGTTCCACCTCTCACTAACCACTGCCAGCGGGTCGTCCTGATTTGTTCTAAGTGTCCTCGCTAAACTCGATAACTGTTTCACTAGTCCACCACGTTTTTTCTACTACCTCCATTGCTGCCTAACTTGCTTCTAACAGCAATCATATCGGCAAGCTGACCCTCTCCCCCCCCCTTTCACTCCCCCTTTCTAGCCGCCCCCCCCCCCCCCCCCAATGTTTTAATTTCTGCCGTCGCGTCTCATGCTTAGACGTAAGCGATTCCAGATTACACCAGAACTTGGAGGTTATACGTGGTATCTGGGATGTTGCCTTCAGGTCTGCAATCTTAGCTGCCATTTTGTCATCTGTGGCTGTCAAACATTCCGGTAGCAGTCGTTCCACAAGGAACGGAAGGAAAGAAGGAAGCTTATTCTTTTTGTGTCTTTTGCTCACCCACTCTTCTGACCTCTCATTACGGACCTTTTTGTGAATATTGTAATGTCACCTGGGCGTGAATTGTCAGTGATGAGCTCTTTCACCCGGCAACCTCTGTCCAGGGTAACATCACACTGCGCCTGTCCGTCCTGGGTAACATCACTCTGTGCATGTCTGTCCTGTCCGTCGCCTGGGGTAACATCACTCTGTGCATGTGGGTAACATGTCTGTGCATGTCTGGGTAACATCACTCTGCGCCTGTCCGTCCTGGGTAACATCACTCTGTGCATGTCTGTCCTGGGTAACATCACTCTGCGCCTGTCCGTCCTGGGTAACATCACTCTGTGCATGTCTGTCCTGGGTAACATCACTCTGCGCCTGTCCGTCCTGGGTAACATCACTCTGCGCCTGTCCGTCCTGGGTAACATCACTCTGCGCATGTCCGTCCTGGGTAACATCACTCTGCGCCTGTCCGTCCTGGGTAACATCACTCTACGCATGTCCGTCCTGGGTAACATCACTCTGCGCCTGTCCGTCCTGGGTAACATCACTCTGTGCATGTCTGTCCTGGCTAACATCACTCTGCGCCTGTCCGTCCTGGGTAACATCACTCTACGCATGTCCGTCCTGGGTAACATCACTCTACGCATGTCCGTCCTGGGTAACATCACTCTGCGCCTGTCCGTCCTGGGTAGCATCACTCTACGCATGTCCGTCCTGGGGATATGGACAGTGTCCTGAGATCAAATGGACAGTGCAAAATAGAACTGATAGACAATCCATACACTGAAAAAAATAATTGAACAGGGGTGGGGGTGGTGGTGGGGGGGGGAGAGGGGCGGGGAGTATGTAAGATATTCAACATTGAGTACGAAACATAGGCAGTCTTTTAATCAGGTTGCAAATGGTACTATTAGAATGTCCACTTCGTTGGCTTCTGAAGAAGGGGACGGGGCACATATGGAAATCTCCCAAGTGCAATGATACCAATTCTTTATTCATTCATTTAGTTTGTAAATACTGAGCAGCCATGTGTGAATAAACTGTTCCAAATGCACCTATAGATAAACATTCGTCACATGAAAAAAGGAAATACGTTCACGCTAAAACAGATGCTCACCACCTGTTACCATAGATTGCACGGTCTCGGGTTTTGTTTCATCTGTGACAGCCACACCAAGGTGCATGTAGTGATTTGCTCACCGACTGTTGTTTGTTTCATCTGTGACAGCCACACCAAGGTGCATGTAGTGATTTGCTCACCGACTGTTGTTTGTTTCATCTGTGACAGCCACACCAAGGTGCATGTAGTGATTTGCTCACCGACTGTTGTTTGTTTCATCTGTGACAGCCACACCAAGGTGCATGTAGTGATTTGCTCACCGACTGTTGTTTGTATCATCTGTGACAGCCACACCAAGGTGCATGTAGTGATTTGCTCACCGACTGTTGTTTGTTTCATCTGTGACAGCCACACCAAGGTGCATGTAGTGATTTGCTCACCGACTGTTGTTTGTTTCATCTGTGACAGCCACACCAAGGTGCATGTAGTGATTGGCTCACCGACTGTTGTTTGTTTCATCTGTGACAGCCACACCAAGGTGCATGTGGTGATTTGCTCACTGACTTTTTGTTTGTTTCATCTGTGACAGCCACACCAAGGTGCATGTGGGGATTTGCTCACTGACTGTTTGTTTGTTTCATCTGTGACAGCCACACCAAGGTGCATGTGGTGATTTGCTCACTGACTGCTTGTTTGTTTCATCTGTGACAGCCACACCAAGGTGCATGTGGTGATTTGCTCACTGACTGTTGTTTGTTTCATCTGTGACAGCCACACCAAGGTGCATGAGGGGATTTGCTCACTGACTGTTTGTTTGTTTCATCTGTGACAGCCACACCAAGGTGCATGTGGTGATTTGCTCACTGACTGTTGTTTGTTTCATCTGTGACAGCCACACCAAGGTGCATGTGGTGATTTGCTCACTGACTGTTTGTTTGTTTCATCTGTGACAGCCACACCAAGGTGCATGTGGGGATTTGCTCACTGACTGTTTGTTTGTTTCATCTGTGACAGCCACACCAAGGTGCATGTGGTGATTTGCTCACTGACTGTTTGTTTGTTTCATCTGTGACAGCCACACCAAGGTGCATGTGGTGATTTGCTCACTGACTGTTTGTTTGTTTCATCTGTGACAGCCACAACAAGGTGCATGTGGTGATTTGCTCACTGACTGTTTGTTTGTTTCATCTGTGACAGCCACACCAAGGTGCATGTGGGGATTTGCTCACTGACTGTTTGTTTGTTTCATCTGTGACAGCCACACCAAGGTGCATGTAGTGATTTGCTCACTGACTGTTGTTTGTATCATCTGTGACAGCCACACCGAGGTGCATGTGGTGATTTGCTCACTGACTGTTGTTTGTATCATCTGTGACAGCCACACCAAGGTGCATGTGGGGATTTGCTCACTGTCTGTTGTTTGTTTCATCTGTGACAGCCACACCAAGGTGCATGTAGTGATTTGCTCACTGTCTGTTGTTTGTTTCATCTGTGACAGCCACACCAAGGTGCATGTGGGGATTTGCTCACTGTCTGTTGTTTGTATCATCTGTGACAGCCACACCGAGGTGCATGTGGTGATTTGCTCACTGACTGTTGTTTGTTTCATCTGTGACAGCCACACCAAGGTGCATGTGGTGATTTGCTCACTGACTGTTTGTTTGTTTCATCTGTGACAGCCACACCAAGGTGCATGTAGTGATTGCTCACCGACTGTTTGTATCATCTGTGACAGCCACACCAAGGTGCATGTAGGGATTTGCTCACTGACTGCTTGTTTGTTTCATCTGTGACAGCCACACCAAGGTGCATGTGGTGATTTGCTCACTGACTGCTTGTTTGTTTCATCTGTGACAGCCACACCAAGGTGCATGTGGGGATTGATTGTTGTTTGCTCACTGACTGATTTGCTTTTGTTTGTATCATCTGTGACAGCCACACCAAGGTGCATGTGGTGATTTGCTCACTGACTGCTTGTTTGTTTCATCTGTGACAGCCACACCAAGGTGCATGTGGTGACACTGAAGGTGCTTGTTTGTTTCATCTGTGACAGCCACACTGACTGCATGTTGTTTGTATCACTGACTGTTGTTTGTACAGCACCACACCAAGGTGCATGTGGTGATTTGCTCACTGACTGTTGTTTGTATCATCTGTGACAGCCACACCAAGGTGCATGTAGTGATTTGCTCACTGACTGCTTGTTTGTTTCATCTGTGACAGCCACACCAAGGTGCATGTGGTGATTTGCTCACTGACTGTTGTTTGTTTCATCTGTGACAGCCACACCAAGGTGCATGTGGGGATTTGCTCACTGACTGTTGTTTGTATCATCTGTGACAGCCACACCGAGGTGCATGTGGGGATTTGCTCACTGACTGTTGTTTGTATCATCTGTGACAGCCACACCGAGGTGCATGTGGGGATTTGCTCACTGACTGCTTGTTTGTTTCATCTGTGACAGCCACACCGAGGTGCATGTGGGGATTTGCTCACCGACTGTTTGTTTCATCTGTGACAGCCACACCAAGGTGCATGTGGTGATTTGCTCACTGACTGCTTGTTTGTTTCATCTGTGACAGCCACACCAAGGTGCATGTGGTGATTTGCTCACTGACTGTTGTTTGTTTCATCTGTGACAGCCACACCAAGGTGCATGTGGGGATTTGCTCACTGACTGTTGTTTGTATCATCTGTGACAGCCACACCGAGGTGCATGTTGGGATTTGCTCACTGACTGTTGTTTGTATCATCTGTGACAGCCACACCGAGGTGCATGTGGTGATTTGCTCACTGACTGCTTGTTTGTTTCATCTGTGACAGCCACACCGAGGTGCATGTGGGGATTTGCTCACTGACTGTTGTTTGTATCATCTGTGACAGCCACACCAAGGTGCATGTAGTGATTTGCTCACTGACTGTTTGTTTGTTTCATCTGTGACAGCCACACCGAGGTGCATGTGGGGATTTGCTCACTGACTGTTGTTTGTATCATCTGTGACAGCCACACCAAGGTGCATGTGGGGATTTGCTCACTGACTGCTTGTTTGTTTCATCTGTGACAGCCACACCGAGGTGCATGTGGGGATTTGCTCACTGACTGTTGTTTGTATCATCTGTGACAGCCACACCAAGGTGCATGTGGTGATTTGCTCACTGACTGTTGTTTGTATCATCTGTGACAGCCACACCGAGGTGCATGTGGGGATTTGCTCACTGACTGTTGTTTGTATCATCTGTGACAGCCACACCGAGGTGCATGTGGGGATTTGCTCACTGACTGTTGTTTGTATCATCTGTGACAGCCACACCAAGGTGCATGTAGTGATTTGCTCACTGACTGTTGTTTGTATCATCTGTGACAGCCACACCAAGGTGCATGTAGTGATTTGCTCACTGACTGCTTGTTTGTTTCATCTGTGACAGCCACACCAAGGTGCATGTGGTGATTTGCTCACTGACTGTTGTTTGTTTCATCTGTGACAGCCACACCAAGGTGCATGTGGTGATTTGCTCACTGACTGTTGTTTGTTTCATCTGTGACAGCCACACCAAGGTGCATGTGGTGATTTGCTCACACTGTTGTTTTGTGCACACCAAGGTGCATGTGGGGATTGGCTCACTGACTGTTGTTTGTTTCATCTGTGACAGCCACACCAAGGTGCATGTGGGGATTTGCTCACTGACTGTTGTTTGTATCATCTGTGACAGCCACATCGAGGTGCATGTGGGGATTTGCTCACTGACTGTTGTTTGTATCATCTGTGACAGCCACACCAAGGTGCATGTGGGGATTTGCTCACCGACTGTTGTTTGTTTCAGATCGAGGCGAAGATCTCCTTGGGATTGGCTGGTGTGATTCTTGTGCTGCTGTCTGTGGGAGCCTCCTTGGGCTTTTACAGCTACATCGGGGTTCCTTCCACTCTGATTATCGTCGAGGTGGTGCCTTTCCTGGTCCTGGCTGTTGGCGTGGACAACATCTTTATTCTTGTCCAGAAATATCAGGTATTGACAAGTACCTTAATAGAGTCATCACTCGAAGCATTAAAAGAGGAAATAAATGGGCTGTTAATAGAGTTATTAATAGTTATTATAAACACAGACAGACACACAAACAGAAACGTTATTATAAACACAGACAGACATAAGCACACAGACAAAATGAACCATAGATATTACCGAATGCATTCAAGGAAACGCTAATAGCCACTAACTTTCATGTCAAATAAGACATAACCAGAGTTTTTACTGGAAACACCAGTAGCTACATCAGTAGAGTCTCACAAACCATTAGAGGAAACACCAGTAGCTACATCAGTGGAGTCTCACAAAACCATTAGAGGAAACACCAATAGCTACATCAGTAGAGTCTCACAAAACCATTAGAGGAAACACCAATAGCTACATCAGTGGAGTCTCACAAAACCATTAGAGGAAACACCAGTAGCTACATCAGTAGAGTCTCACAAAACCATTAGAGGAAACACCAGTAGCTACATCAGTGGAGTCTCACAAAACCATTAGAAGAAACACCAATAGCTACATCAGTAGAGTCTCACAAAACCATTAGAGGAAACACCAATAGCTACATCAGTAGAGTCTCACAAAACCATTAGAGGAAACACCAATAGCTACATCAGTGGAGTCTCACAAAACCATTAGAGGAAACACCAGTAGCTACATCAGTAGAGTCTCACAAAACCATTAGAGGAAACACCAGTAGCTACATAAGTAGAGTCTCACAAAACCATTAGAGGAAACACCAGTAGCTACATCAGTAGAGTCTCACAAAACCATTAGAGGAAACACCAATAGCTACATCAGTAGAGTCTCACAAAACCATTAGAGGAAACACCAGTAGCTACATCAGTAGAGTCTCACAAAACCATTAGAGGAAACACCAGTAGCTACATCAGTAGAGTCTCACAAAACCATTAGAGGAAACACCAGTAGCTACATCAGTAGAGTCTCACAAAACCATTAGAGGAAACACCAGTAGCTACATCAGTGGAGTCTCACAAAACCATTAGAGGAAACACCAATAGCTACATCAGTAGAGTCTCACAAAACCATTAGAGGAAACACCTGTAGCTACATCAGTAGAGTCTCACAAAACCATTAGAGGAAACACCAGTAGCTACATCAGTAGAGTCTCACAAAACCATTAGAGGAAACACCAGTAGCTACATCAGTAGAGTCTCACAAAACCATTTGAGGAAACACCGGTAGCTACATCAGTAGAGTCTCACAAAACCATTAGAGGAAACACCAGTAGCTACATCAGTAGAGTCTCACAAAACCATTAGAGGAAACACCAGTAGCTACATCAGTAGAGTCTCACAAAACCATTAGAGGAAACACCAGTAGCTACATCAGTAGAGTCTCACAAAACCATTAGAGGAAACACACCAGGTAGCTACACATCAGTAGAGTCTCACAAAAACCATTAGAGGAAACACCAGTAGCTACATCAGTAGAGTCTCACAAAACCATTAGAGGAAACACCAGTAGCTACATCAGTAGAGTCTCACAAAACCATTAGAGGAAACACCAGTAGCTACATCAGTAGAGTCTCACAAAACCATTAGAGGAAACACCAGTAGCTACATCAGTAGAGTCTCACAAAACCATTAGAGGAAACACCAGTAGCTACATCAGTAGAGTCTCACAAAACCATTAGAGGAAACACCAATAGCTACATCAGTAGAGTCTCACAAAACCATTAGAGGAAACACCAATAGCTACATCAGTATAGTCTCACAAAACCATTAGAGGAAACACCAATAGCTACATCAGTAGAGTCTCACAAAACCATTAAAGGAAACACCAATAGCTACATCAGTAGAGTCTCACAAAACCATTAGAGGAAACACCAGTAGCTACATCAGTAGAGTCTCACAAAACCATTAAAGGAAACACCAATAGCTACATCAGTAGAGTCTCACAAAACCATTAGAGGAAACACCAGTAGCTACATCAGTAGAGTCTCACAAAACCATTAGAGGAAACACCAATAGCTACATCAGTGGAGTCTCACAAAACCATTAGAGGAAACACCTGTAGCTACATCAGTAGAGTCTCACAAAACCATTAGATGAAACACCAATAGCTACATCAGTAGTCTCACAAAAGCATTAAAGGAAACACCAGTAGCTACAACAGCAGAGTCTCACAAAAGCATTAAAGGAAACACCAATAGCTACATCAGCAGAGTCTCACAAAAGCGTTAAAGGAAACACCAGTAGCTACATCAGTAGAGTCTCACAAAACCATTAAAGGAAACACCAGTAGCTACACCAGTAGAGTCTCACAAAACCATTAGAGGAAACACCAATAGCTACATCAGCAGAGTCTCACAAAACCATTAAAGGAAACACCAATAGCTACATCAGCAGAGTCTCACAAAAGCGTTAAAGGAAACACCAATAGCTACATCAGTAGAGTCTCACAAAACCATTAGAGGAAACACCAATAGCTACATCAGTAGAGTCTCACAAAACCATTAGAGGAAACACCAGTAGCTACATCAGTAGAGTCTCACAAAACCATTAGAGGAAACACCAGTAGCTACATCAGTAGAGTCTCACAAAACCATTAAAGGAAACACCAATAGCTACATCAGCAGAGTCTCACAAAACCATTAGAGGAAACACCAGTAGCTACATCAGTGGAGTCTCACAAAACCATTAGAGGAAACACCAGTAGCTACATCAGTGGAGTCTCACAAAAGCATTAAAGGAAACACCAGTAGCTACATCAGTAGAGTCTCACAAAACCATTAAAGGAAACACCAGTAGCTACATCAGTAGAGTCTCACAAAACCATTAGAGGAAACACCAGTAGCTACATCAGTAGAGTCTCACAAAACCATTAAAGGAAACACCAATAGCTACATCAGTAGAGTCTCACAAAACCATTAGAGGAAACACCTGTAGCTACATCAGTAGAGTCTCACAAAACCATTAAAGGAAACACCTGTAGCTACATCAGTAGAGTCTCACAAAACCATTAAAGGAAACACCTGTAGCTACATCAGTAGAGTCTCACAAAACCATTAAAGGAAACACCAGTAGCTACATCAGTAGAGTCTCACAAAACCATTAGAGGAAACACCAGTAGCTACATCAGTAGAGTCTCACAAAACCATTAGAGGAAACACCAGTAGCTACATCAGTAGAGTCTCACAAAACCATTAAAGGAAACACCAATAGCTACATCAGTAGAGTCTCACAAAACCATTAGAGGAAACACCAATAGCTACATCAGTAGAGTCTCACAAAACCATTAGAGGAAACACCTGTAGCTACATCAGTAGAGTCTCACAAAACCATTAAAGGAAACACCTGTAGCTACATCAGTAGAGTCTCACAAAACCATTAAAGGAAACACCTGTAGCTACATCAGTAGAGTCTCACAAAACCATTAAAGGAAACACCAGTAGCTACATCAGTAGAGTCTCACAAAACCATTAGAGGAAACACCAGCAGCTACATCAGTAGAGTCTCACAAAACCATTAGAGGAAACACCAGTAGCTACATCAGTAGAGTCTCACAAAACCATTAAAGGAAACACCAATAGCTACATCAGTAGAGTCTCACAAAACCATTAGAGGAAACACCTGTAGCTACATCAGCAGAGTCTCACAAAAGCGTTAAAGGAAACACCAATAGCTACATCAGCAGAGTCTCACAAAAGCGTTAAAGGAAACACCAACAGCTACATCAGCAGAGTCTCACAAAACCATTAGAGGAAACACCTGTAGCTACATCAGCAGAGTCTCACAAAAGCGTTAAAGGAAACACCAATAGCTACATCAGTGGAGTCTCACAAAAGCGTTAAAGGAAACACCAATAGCTACAACAGTAGTCTCACAAAAGCATTAAAGGAAACACCAATAGCTATATAAGCAGAGATATCGCCAGAGGCATTAACGGACACACCACTAGTCATATCAATAGAGACATCACCAGACGCATCAAAGGAAACACCGCTAGCCATATCAATAGAGACATCACCAGAGGCATCAAAGGAAACACCGATAGCCATATCAATAGGGACATCACCAGACGCATTTAGGGAAACACCGGTAGCCATATCAATAGAGACATCACCAGACGCATCAAAGGAAACACCGCTAGCGATATCAATAGAGACATCACCAGAGGCATCAAAGGAAACACCGAAAGCCATATCAATAGAAACATCACTAGACGCATCAAAGGAAACACCGGTAGCCATATCAATAGAGACATCACCAGACGCATCAAAGGAAACACCGGTAGCCATATCAATAGAGACATCACCAGAGGCATCAAAGGAAACACCGCTAGCCATAACAATAGAGACATCACCAGAGGCATCTAAGGAAACACCGATAGTCATATCAATAGAGACATCACCAGACGCATCAAAGGAAACACCGGTAGCCATATCAATAGAGACATCACCAGACGCATCAAAGGAAACACCGCTAGCCATAACAAGAGAGACATCACCAGAGGCATCAAAGGAAACACCGATAGTCATATCAATAGAGACATCACCAGACGCATCAAAGGAAACACCGGTAGCCATATCAATAGAGACATCACCAGACGCATCAAAGGAAACACCGCTAGCCATATCAATAGAGGCATCAAAGGAAACACCGATAGCCATATCAATAGAGACATCACCAGACGCATCAAAGGAAACACCGGTAGCCATATCAATAGAGACATCCGCAGAGATTTATCAACAGAGTTAAGCGTCTGATGGTTTGGTCTTTTCAAGTAGCAATTCGGACTCTATAAATCAGGTTGTCCAGCTACCGACCATACATCCAACAGTGGCAACATTAGGTCGCCTACCAGCCATTGATACCTCACATGTTGTGTTCTGTCCATAAACAGAGAGAAGTGCTTGCCGACGATGAAACGGTGGAGCACCTGATTGGACGTGTCCTAGCTCACACTGGTCCCAGCATGCTACTCTCGACTGTCTCCGAATCTCTGGCGTTTTTCTTGGGTAAGAAAATCGTTAATTATAATAATAATTAGTCAATTCAGGCCGTCTTACTGCTTCATGATGGAGAGGTGATTTGTGAAATGACCTTCTGAGACATGATGGAGAGGTGATTTGTGAAATGACCTTCTGAGACAGGGGTGTGGTTTTCAGCTCAAGTGGAGATTATTTGTTCTAACAATACTGATCTCCCTTGTGTGGGCCCGCTAAAAACATGTCATATGGCGCGACAAACGGGTGTTTCCTTGAAAATCGGAAGGATCTACTTTAGAGGCAAGAAACCAAGTCTCCAAACTAAAAAGCCAGATCTGTAAAACGGATATGCAAGCAAAACTTTTAAAAAATTGAAAATGATGAGTAAGAAGAATACTGATCTGTCGGCGCCTTATAAATTATTTTCTAGGCACTTTTTCAAACTGATATAGGCTTCCTAGGAGATAATAAGCTGCAAAATAAAAGTATAAGTGAACTTCCGCTGGCAATGAAACAGACGCAATGTTTTGGAAGAAACTATTCGCATTTTAGTTGAATTTATTCAGTTTTGTGCTTTATTTTATGTTGATGTATCTCTGTAGTAACGCACCTGATGAGATACAGCGAAATATGCCTGGCAATAAATTGTGCAATGTATTTTTTGTATCCGCATTATTTTAACAAAATAAAAGTTTGAATTGGTTGTTTCACCATATGATCTCAACACACCTTTTTGTTAATTGTGTATTGGCCTGTTCTGATACAGGCAAGACAGTTTCTTGCTGAATTCTAACCAGGTGTTTGAGGAGAAAGCGTTGAACCTTTACATTCTTGTCATCACCAGGTGCCCTGACGGAGATGCCAGCTGTGAGAGCTTTCTCCCTGTACGCGGCTATGGCTGTACTCTTCGACTTTCTCCTGCAGATCTCCATGTTTGTCTCACTGCTAACGCTGGACGCCAAACGCGAGCAGGTCACGCCTCTTTATTTTAAATATTTCGTTATCATCAACACTATCCCCACCACCACCATCATCATCACCGTCAACCATAACATCATTCTCATCTTCATCATTACCGTCCTCAGCATTACCTCGGCCATTGCCCACGCCGTTAAGCATGGACGCCATGGTCTCTACTTCACTCATATCTTATCTTGTAATGTATGGGTCTAGAGTCCAAGCCATCACCTCGTCTTCCACTTGCTCGGTTCTGATCCTTTTTCCTGGCCTGGGAGCCGCCATAAGATAGTGGCTAGGCGCTCGCTTACCTGCCTGAAGGTTTTGGGTTCGAATCTGCAGAGTCGGAATTGTTTTCAAATGTGACCTTGTTTCTGTCTCTATTGTGAGGGTTTTCATATCCAAACTTAGAACTCATAGCCAAACATTTGACGATAACATTACATTGTTAAATAATTGATAAGACTCGGTTAAACTCACAAAATTTAACGTTGTTCTATAAATATTGCCTAATATAGTTGATATTTGTATAATTCCAGGCAACCCGTTTTGACATTTCTATAACTCTAGTCAAACAGCTTGTTGATTTGTTTGTTTCTAATCCAGGCAAACAGCTTTGATATTCCTATAACCCCAGGCAAACCATTTGGGTTTTTAACCCAGGCATGTTGATGTTTCTTTAACTCCAGGCAAGCAGCTGTAATATTTCCTATAACTCCAGCCAAACATTTTTTTTTTTGGTACTGAAGGCAAACAGGATTGATGTTTTGTGCTGTAAGAAGCTGTCAGCGAAGAAAGAGACAGCACGTCAAGGAATACTACACACTTTCGTCAGCGATTATTACTCCCACTTTTTACTTCATCCTTGGGTCCGACCTGTTGTGGTGAGTGAGTCTAGTGGGGTCACGTGTTCTTGCCACTCCTGTCTGTCATCTGATGTTTTGTTGACGGCATTGCTTAAAGCGTGTGTATTACAGACTAAAAACGCAGCAACTAAAAGTAACACTAAAATTGGAGCATGCCGTAAGAGGCACTTAGGGGCGACTCGAGACAGACTTAGCTCAAGGCATGGACAAATATTCTACAAAATCTAACAATCACGAATAAGTGGAAAGAATTTAATTAGTGTCAATTGTTTGGGAACCAGTGTTCGACTTTTAGCTGACAGGCAGATAAAGAGAAGGAATGAGGCAGAGAAGACAAACAATGAAGAGGATGACATGACTATGACGACGACCATTATTATAATTATTATTAGTTGGTGCGTCAACAGCCACTCCGTGATGAATAAAACTCAACAATTCAACCAATCAGGAATAATGACTTTGTGTGTGTCTGTGTGTGTGTGTGCATGTATGTGTATGAGTGTGTGAGAGAGAGAGTGTGTGTGTGTTCTAAATACAGACACTAAACAAGTCGCCTGGGAGCTAAAAGGGTAGAAAAATTACTTGCTAGCGGAATGTTCTAGATTCAGTTCGCAGTTACAGTTTCAGGGCTGCACATAAATCTGCTGTCGACGCGGCACATACACAAAAGTGTTCCCAGCCGGCACATACACAAAAGTGTTCCCAGCCGGCACATACACAAAAGTGTTCCCAGCCGGCACATACCCAAAAGTGTTCCCAGCCGGCACATTCACAAAAGTGTTCCCAGCCGGCACATACACAAAAGTGTTCCCAGCCGGGACCTACACAAAAGTGTTCCCAGCCGGCACATACACAAAAGTGTTCCCAGCCGGCACATACACAAGTGTTCCCAGCCGGCACATTCACAAAAGTGTTCCCAGCCGGCACATACACAAAAGTGTTCCCAGCCGGCACCTACACAAAAGTGTTCCCAGCCGGCACATACACAAAAGTGTTCCCAGCCGGCACAAACACAAAAGTGTTCCCAGCCAGCACATGGAATGATCTCTCACTGCATCCCACTCCCAACTTGACTCTCTGGGTCCTTGTGGGACACCGGGTGATGTGTTCCAGGCTGGTGGCCGCTACTAGTCAGCCTCGTATATGCTGATTCCCAGAGGCTTCTTGGATCTGTTCATCGTCCCACAGACTGTTACTGGATCTATCTGTTGTCCCAAAGACTGCTATTGGATCTATCTGATGTCCCAAAGACTGTTATTGGATCTATCTGATGTCCCAAAGACTGTTATTGGATCTATCTGATGTCCCAAAGACTGTTATTGGATCTATCTGATGTCCCAAAGACTGTTATTGGATCTATCTGTTGTCCCAAAGACTGTTATTGGATCTATCTGTTGTCCCAAAGACTGTTATTGGATCTATCTGATGTCCCAAAGACTGTTATTGGATCTATCTGATGTCCCAAAGACTGTTATTGGATCTATCTGATGTCCCAAAGACTGTTATTGGATCTATCTGATGTCCCAAAGACTGTTATTGGATCTATCTGATGTCCCAAAGACTGTTACTGGATCTATCTGTTGTCCCAAAGACTGCTATTGGATCTATCTGATGTCCCAAAGACTGTTATTGGATCTATCTGATGTCCCAAAGACTGTTATTGGATCTATCTGTTGTCCCAAAGACTGTTATTGGATCTATCTGTTGTCCCAAAGACTGTTATTGGATCTATCTGATATCCCAAAAACTGTTATTGGGTCTATCTGTTGTCCCAAAGACTGTTATTGGATCTATCTGTTGTCCCAAAGACTGTTATTGGATCTATCTGATATCCCAAAAACTGTTATTGGGTCTATCTGTTGTCCCAAAGACTGTTATTGGATCTATCTGTTGTCCCAAAGACTGTTATTGGATCTATCTGATATCCCAAAAACTGTTATTGGGTCTATCTGTTGTCCCAAAGACTGTTATTGGATCTATCTGTTGTCCCAAAGACTGTTATTGGATCTATCTGATGTCCCAAAAACTGTTATTGGATCTATCTGTTGTCCCAAAGACTGTTATTGGATCTATCTGTTGTCCCAAAGACAACAGATTGGATCTATCTGATGTCCCAAAGACTGTTATTGGATCTATCTGTTGTCCCAAAGACTGTTATTAGATCTATCTGTTGTCCCAAAAACTGTTATTGGATCTATCTGTTGTCCCAAAGACTGCTATTGGATCTATCTGATGTCCCAAAGACTGCTATTGGATCTATCTGTTGTCCCAAAGACTGTTATTGGGTCTATCTGATGTCCCAAAGACTGCTATTGGATCTATCTGTTGTCCCAAAGACTGCTATTGGATCTATCTGTTGTCCCAAAGACTGCTATTGGATCTATCTGTTGTCCCAAAGACTGCTATTGGATCTATCTGATGTCCCAAAGACTGCTATTGGATCTATCTGATGTCCGAAAGACTGTTTTTTGGATCTATCTGTTTTCCCAAAGACTGTTATTGGATCTATCTGTTGTCCCAAAGACTGTTATTAGATCTATCTGTTGTCCCAAAAACTGTTATTGGATCTATCTGTTGTCCCAAAGACTGCTATTGGATCTATCTGATGTCCCAAAGACTGCTATTGGATCTATCTGTTGTCCCAAAGACTGTTATTGGATCTATCTGTTGTCCCAAAGACTCCTATTGGATCTATCTGTTGTCCCAAAGACTGCTATTGGGTCTATCTGATGTCCCAAAGACTGCTATTGGATCTATCTGTTGTCCCAAAGACTGCTATTGGATCTATCTGTTGTCCCAAAGACTGTTATTGGATCTATCTGTTGTCCCAAAGACTCCTATTGGATCTATCTGTTGTCCCAAAGACTGCTATTGGGTCTATCTGATGTCCCAAAGACTGCTATTGGATCTATCTGTTGTCCCAAAGACTGCTATTGGATCTATCTGTTGTCCCAAAGACTGTTATTGGATCTATCTGTTGTCCCAAAGACTGTTATTGAATCTATCTGTTGTCCCAAAGACTGTTATTGGATCTATCTGTTGTCCCAAATACTGTTATTGGATCTATCTGTTGTCCCAAAAACTGTTATTGGATCTATCTGTTGTCCCAAATACTGTTATTGGATCTATCTGTTGTCCCAAAGACTGTTATTGGATCTGATGTCCCAAAGACTGTTATTGGATCTATCTGTTGTCCCAAAAACTGTTATTGGATCTATCTGTTGTCCCAAAGACTGCTATTGGATCTATCTGATGTCCCAAAGACTGCTATTGGATCTATCTGTTGTCCCAAAGACTGTTATTGGGTCTATCTGATGTCCCAAAGACTGCTATTGGATCTATCTGTTGTCCCAAAGACTGCTATTGGATCTATCTGTTGTCCCAAAGACTGCTATTGGATCTATCTGTTGTCCCAAAGACTGCTATTGGATCTATCTGATGTCCCAAAGACTGCTATTGGATCTATCTGATGTCCGAAAGACTGTTTTTGGATCTATCTGTTTTCCCAAAGACTGTTATTGGATCTATCTGTTGTCCCAAAGACTGTTATTAGATCTATCTGTTGTCCCAAAAACTGTTATTGGATCTATCTGTTGTCCCAAAGACTGCTATTGGATCTATCTGATGTCCCAAAGACTGCTATTGGATCTATCTGTTGTCCCAAAGACTGTTATTGGATCTATCTGTTGTCCCAAAGACTCCTATTGGATCTATCTGTTGTCCCAAAGACTGCTATTGGGTCTATCTGATGTCCCAAAGACTGCTATTGGATCTATCTGTTGTCCCAAAGACTGCTATTGGATCTATCTGTTGTCCCAAAGACTGTTATTGGATCTATCTGTTGTCCCAAAGACTGTTATTGAATCTATCTGTTGTCCCAAAGACTGTTATTGGATCTATCTGTTGTCCCAAATACTGTTATTGGATCTATCTGTTGTCCCAAAAACTGTTATTGGATCTATCTGTTGTCCCAAATACTGTTATTGGATCTATCTGTTGTCCCAAAGACTGTTATTGGATCTGATGTCCCAAAGACTGTTATTGGATCTATCTGTTGTCCCAAAGACTGTTATTGGATCTATCTGATGTCCCAAAGACTGTTATTGGATTTATCTGTTGTGCCAAAGACTGTTATTGGATCTATCTGATGTCCCAAAGACTGTTATTGGATCTATCTGATGTTCCAAAGACTGTTATTGGATCTATCCATAATTTGCATGGCTGGCTTTTATTTGGACTCCAACTTGGTCAGTAAACCAATTCTTGTTGTCTACTGACTGCAGCCCATTTAGATGCCACATGGGAGTCTGAACCTGGGGCTAAGCACCTTAAGTGTGCCCTCCATCCCATGCCTCCGAGCAGTGTTTAGCCACCCTCACCCCTTTTCCACCTCCAAACCAAAACAGTTGTAGATAGAACATTCCCCCCCCCCAGCCACAATGTTTAAACTTTCTCTTGTTAAGCATTTGTTTATTTATTTCATATACACTATTATAATAAATTTCGATATGTAACGTGTGTATAATAATATTTACTATTATTACGCAATTAAACAAGGTTTAAGCCATTTGAACAATGTCGAGTAGATAATTTTATGTTTTCTTTGTGGTGACGGCCCTGAATTGCTGAACCACTAAATTTTAATCAAATGTAAAATAGTATCTCTATACACCTTGACCTATGACCTGATACGAGGTGACCTTTCCGAGAGAAACTGAATATTGGGTGTTCTCTTGTCCAGATGTTTGTGTTCGTGGGCTGGCTGTGTGTTTGTGGCGCATTGACCTCCAGGATCAACATCGGATTAGACCAGTCCCTGGCTATGCCCAAGGTATGTCTAGGTGTCATCATTTAGGTTCTTTATTAACTTCCCCAACTGTAAATCGTCATCATCATCATCCCCATCACGATCCTGTTGCTCAAGTAAATGTCACATAATTCTTTCGGTAATTTCCTCTGCTCCTGTCTTTCCTGAGATGTCCTTTAGATATCATGGATTGAACCCAGCCTGGTACCTTTGACATCTATCATCGTTACTTTTAAGACTCTGTTAATGAAAGCACTAAAAAATCTCCAAAAATGTTAACATCTTTTCTATGCCTTTTAGATCTTCAGGATTACAGGCTAAAGGACTGACGTCAGTAACTGAAACAATCCGTGATGAGTGGGAAGCTCAACGTACGAATGTGAGATTAAACAGTCATGTGTAGAACGTGACGATTCCTTTAGTAAGCCCAGGGTCTGAGCGTAATGTGTCGGCTCTGCATTTATGAAAGCTTTCTTGGATGGCTGGGAATGCCCTTGACCTGCCCTTCGCTTCAGTTGAGACCGACCAGTCTACTTTCGATTGCCCTGATAGGTTCTTCAGGGAAAACACCTGTAGATGAAGGGACAAAGCCGGCACCACACAAATATGGCTACGTCCATGTCCCACTAAACTATCTGGTAAGGTTAACCCGATGAACAAATGCCAGAAGAAGTCGGATGTGTCGGCAGAAAGTTGCAGATATTGCAGCTGTCACAGGCTAGTCTGGTATGGGTATGGAACGGTCTTTATGATAATAGTTAATGTTTCCTGTCTGCACTTACATGACTAGGACTTGACCCAGAGTTCACCGAGACGACCTGACGACGGTAGGAAGTCATGACAGTAGTTCGCTTGCGAAGCCGCGAGGCCACGAGTCCCGCATGAACAGACTGAACTGCGGGACTGAAACAAAACCAGCGAACAGCAGAAGATCCAGGACTTGCGATAGAGTGACCGACAGATTGCAATGTTTCACGTTTAGACCATAGTGACCGATAGACTGTACTAAAATGTGTTTCTTTAGGCAGTAGCTTTACTTCTGTTTTATACCGCTCTCAACAGAGGTATGTTTTCTGTGTAGCTTGTTATGTGGGTCGCTGGTTAGGCATTAACGTCAGGTGGGAAGCTAGGACTGGTTTGTATTGGGGATTTTGATTTGATCTCACTTGCTTTGGCCTACACTCAGCAGACGCTTCGCAGTCCTGATGTGTTCAATTACAGCGAAAGGAGCTGTACAGAAGCGGCATGGGTTCGGACCCGGGTATTATTCTTGGGAACATGCTGGTCTGGGAGTCAGAGGTTATTTTTTAAAGACCTCACGGCTGTGGGTGTTTGGGTTTAGTGTGTTTAGGATAGTTTATCTGTCACCGACCCATATACTGTTACGGCAGACATAAGGTCTCTGACAGCAGCTATGCCGTAAATATGCGATTACGTCACTAGAAGGGCGAAAAGCAAAAGAAGACTCAAACAGTCCCTTCTCTGGTGGGAATCGAACAGCAAACTATAAAAGCCATTTGAACGACAACAAGCAAGTTATTGTGGACACTATTGTAGACAGTTAAATCGTTTACCAGCTTGATCGGGCAATTTGTGTTTGAGGTCACAATGTCTCCTCTTGTTCATGCCATTTTCATTAATTCTTTATTTAAGTTACAGTATGAGCAGCAGAAACAATATATATTCTTTCGATAGGTCATCAGAAGGAAAAAACCAGAGTACATGGCGACAGTGGTAATTTGGAGGGACAAAGAGTCAAAGGCGCAGAGCGGGAAGATTCTGGACCGTTTGACATCTGGCATGTAAGAGCATCTGAGTCATAACTGACTGAAAGTACACGAAGACAGAAGGTTGTGGAAAAACATGTGTACTAACACCACACGATAGCCACTACAAGAAGAAGTGAATAACCGATTATTGTGACATAGTAAATCAGTAGCTAGAATTCTATATATGAATGTGTCTTGTTGCAGGACTCCTATGTTCTCGACTACTTCAAGAACTTGACCGAGTATCTCTCTGTTGCAGGACTCCTATCTTCTCGACTACTTCAAGAACTTGACCGAGTATCTCTCTGTTGCAGGACTCCTATGTTCTCGACTACTTCAAGAACTTGACCGAGTATCTCTCTGTTGCAGGACTCCTATGTTCTCGACTACTTCAAGAACTTGACCGAGTATCTCTCTGTTGCAGGACACCTATGTTCTCGACTACTTCAAGAACTTGACCGAGTATCTTTCTGTTGCAGGACTCCTATGTTATCGACTACTTCAAGAACTTGACCGAGTATCTCTCTGTTGCAGGACTCCTATGTTCTCGACTACTTCAAGAACTTGACCGAGTATCTCACTGTTGCAGGACTCCTATGTTCTCGACTACTTCAAGAACTTGACAGAGTATTTCTCTGTTGCAGGACTCCTATGTTCTCGACTACTTCAAAAACTTGACCGAGTATCTCTCTGTTGCAGGACTCCTATGTTCTCGACTACTTCAAGAACTTGACCGAGTATCTCTCTGTTGCAGGACTCCTATGTTCTCGACTACTTCAAGAACTTGACCGAGTATCCCTCTGTTGCAGGACTCCTATGTTCTCGACTACTTCAAGAACTTGACCGAGTATCCCCAGCTGTTGCAGGACTCCTATGTTCTCGACTACTTCAAGAACTTGACCGAGTATCCCTCTGTTGCAGGACTCCTATGTTCTCGACTACTTCAAGAACTTGACCGAGTATCCCTCTGTTGCAGGACTCCTATGTTCTCGACTACTTCAAGAACTTGACCGAGTATCTCTCTGTTGCAGGACTCCTGTTCTCGACTACTTCAAGAAACTTGACCGAGTATCTCTCTGTTGCAGGACTCCTATGTTCTCGACTACTTCAAGAACTTGATCTGTATCATCTGTTGCAGGACTCCCCCAGCATGTACTTAAGAACATGTGACCGATATCTGAGGTTGGAGACTCCCGTGTACTTTGTTGTGGAGGAGGGACATGATTACTCCAGTCTCGTGGGTCAGAACGATATCTGTGGTATCAGTGGCTGCCCCCAGGACTCGCTGGTTCAGCAGATCAATGAAGCAGCCCAGGCACCCAGCATGTAGGTAGAACATATTTCGTCGTGGCGGAAAAAGGGGGGGGGGATGCGGTTGCGACCTTAGCATGTGTAGAACATGTGACATCTGAGGGGAGACAACCCCCAGCATGTAGGTAGAACATGTGACATCTGAGGGGAGACAACCCCAGCATGTAGGTAGAACATGTAACATCTGAGGGGAGACAACCCTAGAATGTAGGTAAAACATGTGACATCTGAGGGGAGACAACCCCAGCATGTAGGTGGAACATGTACCATCTGAGGGGAGACAACCCCAGCAAGTAGGTAGAACATGTGACATCTGAATGGAGACAACCCCAGCATGTAGGTAGAACATGTAACATCTGAGGGAAGACAACCAAAGCATGTAGGTAAAACATGTTCCATCTGAAAGGAGACAACCCCCCAGCATGTAGGTAAAACATGTGACATCTGAGGGGAGACGACCCTAGAATGTAGGTAAAACATGTGACATCTGAGGGGAGACAACCCCCAGCATGTAGGTAAAACATGTACCATCTGAGGGGAGACAACCCCAGCATGTAGGTAGAACATGTAACATCTGAGGGGAGACAACCAAAGCATGTAGGTAAAACATGTTCCATCTGAAAGGAGACAACCCCAGCATGTAGGTAAAACATGTGACATCTGAGGGGAGACAACCCCAGTATGTAGGTAGAACATGTGACATCTGAGGGGAGACAACCCCCAGCATGTAGGTAAAACATGTGACATCTGAGGGGAGACAACCCCAGCATGTAGGTAGAACATGTACCATCTGAGGGGAGACAACCCCAGCATGTAGGTAGAACATGTAACATCTGAGGGGAGACAACCCCAGCATGTAGGTAGAACATGTAACATCTGAGGGGAGACAACCCTAGCATGTGGGTAGAACGCCTGTCATCGGGTAGAGGAGGAGGGTGTTGGGACCCCAGCATGTAATTAGAAAAAGTTTCGTCGGGGAAAATGGATTGGGGGGGGGGGGACTTTTACGACCTTAGCAAGTAGGTAGAACATGTGACATCTGAGAGGAAACAACCCCATCATGTAGGTAAAACAGGTGAAATTTGAGGGGAAACTACCCCGTCATGTAAACTGTGCAGATTGTAAAACATGCGACATCTGAGGGGAAACAACCCCATCATGTAGGTAAAACAGGTGAAATCTGAGGGGAAACAACCCCGTCATGTAAACTGTGCAGATTGTAAAACATGTGACATCTGAGGGGAAACAACCCCATCATGTAGGTAAAACAGGTGAAATCTGAGGGGAAACAACCCCGTCATGTAAACTGTGCAGATTGTAAAACATGTGACATCTGAGGGGAAACAACCCCATCATGTAGGTAAAACAGGTGAAATCTGAGGGGAAACAACCCCGTCATGTAGGCCGAACACGTAACATCTAAGGGGAAACAATTCCATCATGTAGGTATAATATAAAACATCTGAGGGGAAACAACCCCATCATGTAGGTAGAACATGTAACGTCATGTTTAGGTGTTAGGTTAGTTGCTGTATACCTTATACACAATGATGTCTGTATACCTTGTACACAGTGATGTCTGTATACCTTATACACAGTGATGTCTGTATCTCTTGTACACAGTGATGTCTGGTTCTCTTGTACACAGTGATGTCTGGTTCTCTTGTACACAGTGATGTCTGTATCTCTTGTACACAGTGATGTCTGTATCTCTTGTACTCAGTGATGTCTGTATACCTTGTACAAGTGATGTCTGTATACCTTTGACACAATGATGTCTTGTATACCTTGTCCACAGTGATGTCTGAATCCCTTGTACACAGTGATGTCTGTATCCCTTGTACACAGTGATTTCTGTATCCCTTGTATGCAGTGATGTCTGTATCCCGTGTACACAGTGATATCTGTATCCCTTATACATAGTGATCTCTGTATCCCTTGTACATCATGATGTCTCTATCCCTTGTACACAGTGATGTCTGTATCCCTTGTACACAGTGATCTCTGTATCCCTTGTACATGGTGATTTCTGTATCCTTTGTACACAGTGATTTCTGTCTCCTTTGTACACAGTGATATCTGTATCTCTTGTACACGGTGATATATGTGTCTCTTGTCAACAGTAATGTCTGTATTCCTTGTACACAGTAATGTCTGCATCCCGTGTACACAATAATGTATGTATACCTTGTACACAGTAATGTCTGTATACCTTGTACACAGTAATGTCTGTATGCCTTGTACACAATGATGCCTGTATGCCTTGTACACAGGGATGTCTGTATTCCTTTCAAACAGTGATGTCTGTATCTCTTATACACAGGGATGTCTGTATCCTTTTAAAAAGTGATATCTGTATCTCTTGTGCACGGTGATGTATGTATACCTTAACACAATGATGTCTGTATACCTTAACACAGTGATGTCTGTATACCTTGTACACAGTGATGTCTGTATACCTTATAAACAGTGATGTCTGTATACCTTATACACAATGATATCTGAGTCTCTTTATACACAATAATGTCTGTATCCCTTGTACACAGTGATGTCTGTATCTCTTGTACACAGGGATGTCTGTATCCTTTTAAAAAGTGATATCTGTATCTCTTGTGCACGGTGATATATGAGTCTCTTTTCAACAATAATGTCTGTATCCCTTGTACACAGTGATGTCTGTATCTCTTATACACAGGGATGTCTGTATTCCTTTTAAACCGTGATGTCTGTATCTCTTGTACACTGTGATGTCTGTATCTCTTGTACACAGTGATGTCTGTATCTCTTGTACACAGTGATGTCTGTATCCCTTATACACGGTGATGTCAGTATCTCTTGTACACAGTGGTGTCTATATCTTGTACACAGTGATGTCTGTATACCTTATACACAGTGACGTCTGTGTACCTTATACACAGTGATGTCTGTGTACCTTGTACACAATTATGTCTGTGTACCTTATACACAATTATGTCTGTGTACCTTAACAACAATGATGTCTGTGTACCTTAACAACAATGATGTCTGTATACCTTATACACAATGATGTCTGTATACCTTCTACACAATGATGTCTGTATACCTTATACACAATGATGTCTGTATACCTTATACACAGTGATGTCTGTATACCTTATACACAGTGATGTCTGTATACCTTAAACACAGTGATGTATGTATACCTTAAACACAGTGATGTATGTATACCTTAAACACAGTGATGTCTGTATACCTTAAACACAGTGAGGTCTGTATACCTTAAACACAGTGATGTCTGTATACCTTAAACACAGTGATGTCTGTATACCTTAAACACAGTGATGTCTGTATACCTTAAACACAGTGATGTCTGTATACCTTAAACACAGTGATGTTGGTATACCTTATACACAGTGATGTCGGTATACCTTAAACACAGTGATGTCTGTATACCTTATACACAGTGATGTCTGTATACCTTATACACAGTGATGTCTGTTTACTTTATACACAGTGATGTCTGTATACTTTATACACAGTGATGTCTGTATACTTTATACACAGTGATGTCTGTATACCTTATACACAGTGATGTCTGTATACCTTATACACAGTGATGTCTGTATACCTTATACACAGTGATGTCTGTATACCTTATACACAATGATGTCTGTATACCTTATACACAGTGATATCTGTATACCTTATACACAGTGATATCTGTATACCTTAAACACAGTGATGTCTGTATACCTTGTACACAGTGATGTCTGTATACCTTGTACACAGTGATGTCTGTATACCTTGTACACAGTGATGTCTGTATACCTTAAACACAGTGATGTCTGTATACCTTAAACACAGTGATGTCTGTATACCTTAAACACAGTGATGTCTGTATACCTTAAACACAGTGATGTCTGTATACCTTGTACACAGTGATGTCGGTATACCTTGTACACAGTGATGTCTGTATATCTTGTACACAGTGATGTCTGTATACCTTAAACACAGTGATGTCTGTATACCTTAAACACAGTGATGTCTGTATACCTTAAACACAGTGATGTCTGTATACCTTAAACACAGTGATGTCTGTATACCTTAAACACAGTGATGTCTGTATACCTTAAACACAGTGATGTCTGTATACCTTAAACACAGTGATGTCTGTATACCTTAAACACAATGATGTCTGTATACCTTATACACAGTGATGTCTGTATACCTTATACACAGTGATGTCTGTATACCTTATACACAGTGATGTCTGTATACCTTAACCACAATGATGTCTGTATACCTTAACCACAATGATGTCTGTATACCTTATACACAGTGATGTCTGTATACCTTATACACAGTGATGTCTGTATACCTTATACACAGTGATGTCTGTATCTCTTGTACACAGTGATGTCTGTATCTCTTGTACACAGTGATGTCTGTATCTCTTGTACACAGTGATGTCTGTATACCTTATACACAGTGATGTCTGTATACCCTATACACAGTGATGTCTGTATACCCTATACACAGTGATGTCTGTATACCCTATACACAGTGATGTCTGTATACCCTATACACAGTGATGTCTGTATACCCTATACACAGTGATGTCTGTATACCTTAAACACAGTGATGTCTGTATACCTTAAACACAGTGATGTCTGTATACCTTAAACACGGTGATGTCGGTATACCTTAAACACAGTGATGTCGGTATACCTAAAACACAGTGATGTCGGTATACCTTAAACACAGTGATGTCGGTATACCTTAAACACAGTGATGTCGGTATAGCTTAAACACAGTGATGTCTGTATACCTTAAACACAGTGATGTCTGTATACCTTAAACACAGTGATGTCTGTATACCTTATACACAGTGATGTCTGTATACCTTCTACACAGTGATGTCTGTATACCTTCTACACAGTGATGTCTGTATACCTTCTACACAGTGATGTCTGTATACCTTCTACACAGTGATGTCTGTATACCTTCTACACAGTGATGTCTGTATACCTTCTACA